CCATGGTATGAATTAATGCTGCCAGTAGCGCCCCCTGCTGGCATGTTATATGATACTACTCATGCGGTGACTAAATTAATATTTGTATTTGTATCCGTGCAACGATGACAACTCAAAAATTCTTTTCCTCTCAAATGTTTATTGAGAGATTTGTAGCTTTCGTTTCATTTATAGTATTAAAAAAATCACTTTGAATTTTTTACTGTATCATCCGTAACACAAAAATATTATTCAAGAAAAAAGCTTGTGGCCACCGGACGAGGTAATATCATTTAGGAAATCTTATTTTTTTTTGCTACCTTAAAACATGAATGGTGCGGACGATTTATGGGATCACAATGACTTTTTACAACCCACCCACTTTTTATACACATTTTAGCTCTTCGCGCGTTATCTACGTACATTTTGTGTCTTAATCTATTAATAATGTTTTATTTTAGCTGACGTGACGTTTTATGTTGCGATTTCATATATCGATAAGTGCCGGAACCGCACTGATTACGTATAGTTTCGAAAATACCTTAAAAGAAAAAGGTTTTTAACAGAAAAATGTCTTTATTGTACAAATACTTTAAGCTAGTCGAGAGACCGTATCAAGCAGCTAGGCCACCATTATAGAGAGAACTTCCTCTACTCCCTGTTCCTTTCCAAAAACGCCGTAGAAAGGGATATTCAACTATAAATGAGGCTCTTCTTATTTTAACTACTTTATTGTTACTGGAGGGTGCATAAATCATGTCAAGCGAATAATAAGGTTCCCTCAACGTAGCAGATCTTGGCTGCGATCTGTATGGGCACATCTTTAGTTAGTATAAGTTAAGTCTTACAATAAATATAGGTGAATCAAATAAAATTGTATCTTAGTCTACCATTGTTGTAAGAATGATATATTTAGTGATGAAGTCTTAAGTATAATATTGTAAATAGTACTATACATATTTATTACTAGAATAAAACTTACGTATGTAACGCACTTGAATTACCAGCCAGATAGTTTACAAACAGGATGTGTGGTCATTTTATATACTTAGTTATACGTGGTTTTATAGCAGAGTCCGACACCAACATCAATACTAAAATTTCCGTTCCACGACTCTCTTGAAAAGGTAAACATTGACGGTTTTGCAGCGGCGCGGTTTGTTCAAAAGCGGCTGCATTTTACGCGAATTGAGCGCACTGGTCATTAAGCAACAACAAGTAAAATGCTCCAGCGGGTTCAAGCATAATTACCTTAAGGCTAACTGTGCACATTCGAGAATTAGATGAAGGAGGTGTCACATATTGGAAATAATAATTTCGACAAATTTAAATCACTGATTAGTTTTTGGATTATTTTTATAATAAATATAACTTTGGAATGAAAAATATATAAAAAAAATCTATTAATTTTACACTTGGTTGTTTTCATTAACTATAGCTTCAATAAATAAAAATAGAAGAAAGAAAATGATGCAAAACGTTTAAAATGACGAAGTTGTTAATAATTTCAATTTTATTAGATATGTGGAGTCAATTTTGTTGCAATACGTTTTCACTTTTCATGCAATCTTGGTGACGAAAACGTGTTATAAGAATTTGTATCTTCTACTCTCAATTCTGCGAGTAAAATATTACGAAAATCTTTTTTGAGCGCTAAGCCAGCACTAAAACCTCGTAAGTTTGACCAAAATATGTTCTTTTCTTATACTATTCTTCTTAGACACATTTGTTTTTACTTAAGCAATAACGATAATAGTAGTTAAATTTGCTGTATAAACAACTATGCCTAAATATTCCATAAAAATTCTATTATCACACAGTGTAATATGTATATTTGACTGATAGCTATCACAGACTATGATAAGGTATTTGGTCATCATATTTCTATTGATGACAATATGATAATGTAATAGCAACCTAAGAATTACTAAAAGAGGAATAAAATATTTAAAAAAAAACTCCAGTGATTCATTAGAATTCAAAGGGCAACAACTGCAATATAACCCTTTTTTCTATCACCGGGTTGACCATCTCAAGGAGGTGTCGGATTTATCGTCCACACAGAATCACCATACGGCACTCGGTGAAGGCTTATGCATCGACCTTGGCACATACCCTTAAGGAGATGGAAGCGATACATGGGGAAATCTCTAGAGCCATGCACTCGTTTAAACTTGTCCTTTATAGAAAACTTCAACGCAACACATAGTTGTTGATTACATTTATGTAGGGCAAATTGTGCGACTGAGATAAGTTCAATTTCGACTAGAGGCCAATCGACGGATATACTTCGGCTGGGCAGTGCTCCTCGGCTGCGCCACAACATCATCCCATCGACAAGAGTGTACAAACAATGCGTGTTACCAGTGAGGACATGCATCTGAGACGTATGTAGTTCTTCACCGCTGGCCGTACGTGGAAGAGCTATGACAATTAGAAATGAGGATATCTGCAGTAGAAACAAAGTAACAGACATAGCCCAATGGGTCAGTTGCGAAGTTCTAAGGCGGTCCCGCACTAGATGGAGTAAAGACCTGGTAAGACTTGCAGGAAGTCGAATAATGCCATTATGTGCCAGAACATGAGGATGAGTTGTGTGGCACTACGTGAGTAAGACCTTTGGTTATCTCTGGGCTTGTGAAGGACTTTAATAACGATGATGATGAATATTCAAGTACTATATATGAATACTATCTTTTACATCACTAGTCAACCCACGTCACTCTCTGTTCAATCCTCAATGTTTCGGGATATTTATTAGCAACAAACTTTATTGGTCGTTAAAATCTCGCAGCGGTAGCCGGCCTTTCCCGTCACGGTGACGCAAAGCAATCGTAACAGAAAACAATGAGCACTACATGATGGCCGATTTACGAACGTAATGCAAAATTGCGATTGTTTCACAGTTGTAAAACTAACCTCTCTGTTATTATGTATTTTATGTATGCCAGTAAGAATTTAAGTAATAAATCAATAATAATATTTCTGTTGATATATACAATGAAAATGAAACAAAATAAAAGTTAATTAAAAAAAAAACACGAATTGATTATATAACTATTTTATTTTATCCTAGTGTTCCTGATCAGGATACTAGAACAAAGTTATTAAATTGTTGTATTGTCAGTAGTTGATACGAGTGCAAATTCAATCGTCAACAGTCAATTGGCCGTCTACAAGTTGATGAAAATTATATAGAAAGATTCCGTTACGTACGTAGATAGATAAATTATATTATGCGAAGCTAATAAAATCGTTTTAAAAATAAAATGGCGGCACCACTATATAAACGCGATTTTTTATTCTTTCGCTAATTCGACATTCGATTAACATTGTAACTGACTTGTAACTTCCTTCATTGTGCGCCTAGAAAATGTAGAACAGCTATTTATTATTTCACTTCTTATTATTATACGATTATTTTTATTATTATATATAACAAATGATAATTTTGGTGGTGATCAGTGGATACCAGCCGGTTTGCACAAGCAAAATAGATACCTATAACGAATAGAAGTAAATTAAAAACTATTGAAATGTAATAATTTACAAATTCCTCCGTTAAAACGAAACGGGTTAACGCACATATAACACACGAAAAAGGCAATACGGTGGTAGTATAATTATTATTCCTGATTATTCTATATCGCTACACCTAAGTCAAATTCTGACCACTCCATGGGTTGACTGGTAGAGGCCCAAGGCATTAAGTCCGCCCTTTTATATTCTTTTGTTTTAAATAATGCATTAAAGAATAAATAAATAAAATATTTAATCAAAACATAAACTATTTGAAAACATGAATTAGTAAATTACATGACAGTGACTGAACTTCTTACAAATACCTTGAAATGTTTGCATGTTGATGGGTGGTTACTTCACCACGCAGTAACCGATTACTCATACACATAAACTGAATTAGAGGAAATTCTGGACACACTTAGGTTCATGTTCTGGGCTAACACACATGCATTACGTAGTTCGGGAATATAAAAGATTAGGACTTTTTTGTTTTAACGCGGGCGGAGTTGCGAGCTAATAGTTAAGAATGAAAGTTATATATCATTCAACTTTAATTAATATATTATCATTTCTAATTAAACAATATAACTCTTCCAAATTTAAAACGACAATTCAACAATTATTTCTTCTTTCGGCAGCAACGCGCCGGGTACGAGATACAAATGAATAACTTGAAACAGAAATTTATGACAGGGTAAAATCTAATATATATATATATATATATATATATATATAAATAGTTTATTTAGCCATATTGGGAGTGCAGTTTATCAATAAATAGTTTTTCGAATTCCTTTGCTCTTTATATTGTCATTAAAATTCCATAAATACAAAGAAAAAAGATTAACATAATAATGTATAATACATGTAAATCATGGAATTATCATCGACTGATTCACATTACGCCGTTTAATTTCACGTTAACGCTAATTGGTGTGGTGTTCGGTCACAACTAAAGGTGTATTTTATTTCACGATATATTATTTTTATGTGTGCGAATTAGCAATGCGAACTGTATTTATTAATTTGAGCACTGTCATTTCTAGTTGGCCTGCTGTGTTGCATACTTTGTAATTGGTGTGAATGTTTAATTTTTTTTAGAATGTTCGTCTGTTAATTTATATCATACATAGTATCTCTTTTATATTGGCCTTATGAATATGACTGTATATTGCGTTTCGGTGCGGTTTATATCCGAAGTTGCAGCCTTCATAGGTATCTTGTAAGAGGTTATAAAACTTAGAATAACTTGTTATAATGTATAAAGTAATTATGGATTGTAGGTAGTACATTCATAATGTGGGCTTGTAAGCTCTCTGGGTTTTGATATTTATTAATTTTATTTTGAAATTGAAAAAGTATTGGGTTGGTTAATTTGCTATCTATTTTTGGATTTTTTTGTTACTATAACATGAGATTGCAGTTGTATATAGAATATATTATAATAATAATTTCAATGTTTTACATTGAGCAGCGTGAATCTTCTCTTCTCATATCAGATCTGAATGCGGATTATTTGGAGATGGGATTCCGGGGCGGCGGAGGTCTAGGCAGCACCTCGCGCACCAAGCGCATGCGAACTAGCTTCAAGCATCATCAGCTACGCACTATGAAGTCTTATTTCGCCATCAACCATAATCCAGACGCCAAAGACCTGAAACAGCTCAGTCAGAAAACAGGTCTACCTAAGAGAGTTTTACAGGTAATTCATATTTATAAATTTATAGATGATATAAATTAATATAAAAATAAATAATATAACCATACTTAATTGTGTTTACACTGAGTTCTCTTGGGTTCTCAAATGAATTATAAAGTAAAAAACACAACGTACTTACACAAAGTATGTATACCGAACATCAAAATGTGTGGGGTTATAACTTAGCCTTATAATTAAAAAAATTGTAATTGAGAATTAATTAGAACTATAGCTAAAACAGAAGAAAGTAATTATCTTTGGGATAACACCGAATTATTCAGAAGCTAATGCGAATTTAATGTACTAAGAGGATCGCTCGCTTTGTCACTATCGTGCTTATGGATATTGCCGCTTTGCGAACGTATGTTGTGAATGAAAAAAAAATATAAAAATATGTGAATGTAAAATACATAGTAGTAAAAGTATCATGTTGGAATTGTCATGACAATTTTTAATAACTTATATCTGTTACCTTACCTAAATGCATTGTATTATTTATTTTAAAAAAAACTTATATGAATAGAATAGTAGTAATGTACGACGAATGGATAATGGAAAATTGATATTTAAAAAAAATGTGAAATTGCATCTGGACCTGTTCGTGTCTGTCGACAAGTCTTCAAAAGTGCCTGAGTCAGCTACTTACAAATAGCGTGTGGGTGAGTGACAATTTATCTGTAAATTGTACTTGTTAACTCTTTGTGTAATAAAGAGATATTATGACGTGGGAGTCGTTGCGGTTTTTACGTTGATTTCTCAACATTTATTGAATATTAGCAATCCGCCCCGGCTTCACACGGTTGACTTCTGGATCTGGATAACAGCGCCACCTACCACGTTTAATTGGAATTCAAAGCATACAGGGATCCATTCAAACGCATACATAAATTTTCATCAAAATCATTCGAGCCGTTTTCGAGTTTTAGTGAGTAAAACGGAGAGCAATTAATTTTGTAGATTATTTGTTTATTCAAAGTAAGAAAATAATAAGAGTCAATATTAAAATTTTCAATGCAAAAATATAAAACGTCGGTATCGGTATCGTACCATACAACTTTAATGGCCATCGCTCCATCTGCGCTACCATTACCACCAGTTTGGCCGTACTAATAGATTGGACACACCGCGGCGTAGCTTTGCCGTTTAGAACTCTATATTGCTTTTAATTTGTTTGTTATGCGGCCCTTTAATGTGAATCTTACACGGCGTCTTCAAAGAGCCTTCCTTTGTTTTCGTAATTACACCATTTTTGATAGTTCGTTCTGCTTTCGTTAAACATGTGCAGTGAAAGATTTTTTGTTTTCCATAATTTGTGCTTCTGGTAACGGCATTGATTGAATTAGGTATTGTAAGGTGGGTCAATTTAAGTTAAGGATAGTATGAACATAAAAAGATCTTGAATGGTATGGGAGGCAATAAGAGTTCAAATACTGTTCACTCTGAACTCTACTAGAAGACAAATGTACGAGAGAGATGACTCTCTTTGGCACGTTTCTCTTTTAGTATATGCTACATGCCAATATGTAAGGTTAATAACTTTATATACTTGTTCGAGAGATGTCGTCTTTGAGACATACGAACGGTAGGCACAGCGTCCCCTTACCAGTTATCGACATACCGAGCCAAACCGAGCTGACCCGAGTCAGATAGCGCGCGCCGCATAAATTTCGCTCCAACCAATTATACGAAGGCAAAGAGAACCTCTCTCCCTCCAAACCACCGAATATTGATCGAGATTTTTTTTTCAAAAAACTCACAGCTTGCCGTCGCCATTTTGCAGAGATAAGGGCTTCTTCGTTTTGTGTATACCGACTTTTGGCCGTATGCTCCCGTGGAGAAATGTTAAGAACCGCGTTTTGTTTTTTATAGATAGAACCAAGCGGAGCTCAGATAAACGATGTCGGGTTGCGTTTTATTTTTGAGAAAAATTTGTTGAAAAGGTATTCTAAATATTACCGTTAGCGCTTGCGCTTGATTTCGATTTCATAAAATAAATCAACTCCAGACAGTTTTCAAAGTAAAACATATAACGTACCCATTGTAATTCTTACAACTTATGTAACGGTCACCTTATTTAATAATTATCTAATAAACAAACATTTAAATTTTGTGTAGAAAAGTTACATCCGTCTACCTACTGTAATCGGCTTCATAATTTTAACGTCGTAAGTTTCTGACAAATTCTGTGTACCAAGTCAATTTTAACGTCGTAGTCGAATCCGATGGTCGCATGACAATGAAGTTTTATATTACTAAACCATTTTATTAAACGTTATTATGCAGTCAGTCTTAGTTTCAGGTATGTTGATTGGTATATTATTAGGTGTATAGAAATCGAAATTCATTCACTATAAAAATATTTTTAAATATATGTGACATCTTTTTTTGAACCATCTGTATTACAAGTTATATTTAAAAAGAGCACTTACCTTAATTTTTAAGTACATATACCGTCGCAGTCGAGCTAATATGGGAGTGCTTCTTGCATAATAGTATGAAATATTTTAATTCTTTTAATTTGGATAGCGAAAATTGCATAACGACGTCAAACCTTGCCAAAAGGTCCGAGAACAGATATTAATCAACTAGAAATCTTACTTCTCCAATTCAACAAAATGTTTTTTGTAGTATCAAGACTTTGTTTAGTTTAATTATAATAAAACGTAATTTAATTATAATTACTTTTTAATGCGTATATCAAAGGATTGGAAAAAGGTCTTTCCGTCCGGATACAATCTAGGCATCTCCAAGACAAGTCTGAATAAGCTTTTGTTACGCTAAAGCAGTGTGATTTACCATCTAGGGCTACGTCACAACTTACTACCAGGTGGAATTATAGTCAAATACTTGCTAATAATGAAGTAAAAAAAAACATTAAGTTTTCGGTTTATTTTGGCTTTTACTTCAGAACTCATTGACTCACTGGTTGAATATACGATATCTATCGCCTGAAACTATAATGTTTAAGTTTTAAAATGAACCCCAAGTAACAGATAATGTAATTAAAGTCAAAATGATTTTTAACCTAATGCCATTAAATGCTAATTTTACAATGTGTTCAAGCTCCACCTTGAAAAATATTTATGTAAAGCGTTAATATCAATTTGTAGTAGTTCCGCCGAAAATCATTAATTGAAGTTTTAGTACTGCTTAATTGCATATAAATTATTGTACCTGAAATATTATCTAAGCTTTAATTAACGTATTTTACGTAGTAGGTAGTTAAGAGTGGATAAACCCACGAATTTTAGAATTAAGTAAAAGAAATTTATAGCTGGGTGTAACATAAAAAATTTAAGAACAGGTGCAAGTTACTATGGAGAGCGCGTATGTCTAATTGCCTTGGGCGCCTTTGTAATATATGTGTGCCCGCGATGTCTCCAAACCTCGGCGCGGGCGCATTTAGAACAAACCGCCCCATATTTCTCTCCGTGCGTCCGCAATTGCGTGATTTGTCACTCGCTCTGTTTAATTTTTTTTTCTTAACTTCTGAAAAATGACTCGGGTTCAAGTAGCGCTGCGTAATTAGTTGATTGAAAAAGTGCGTTTCGTTGTCCTGTTGCGTTTCACATTCACAATCGGTCGGGTGTGCATAGTGTAAATACCATTGGATTTTTTTGTACAATTTACTTGTTAACTTGTATTTATATTGAAAATGTGTAATATAGATTAATAAATGAAATGTAAATTGATTCTGATTATTATGCCTTAAAGCCGATATCTACGTGATACTGGCTGTAAAATGGATATGTAATAACATAAAACTATACTACAAAATAAACCATTGAAGATTTATCATGACGTATTTTTATGGAAATGAAGTAATAGGATTTCACACATTTAGTGTACTATTTTTAAATCATTTTCATGGCATGATTTTAAACACAATAAAGATGCCTGAGATGGCACACAAATAACCTGAGAAATACTAAAGGCGTCCCGAAACCAGCAATTAGCATCGGTTGGTCACACCTCGACGTTTGGCCAGATATAATTTTACTTTCTAAGTACATTTGGTGACAATAATAAATGCGACGTTCCAGACGAAAATGGCTATAAAGAAAGATTCTTAAAGCTGAAATCTGCTTGCGTGGGTGAGTGGAGATCACAATCAAACGCTCTAGTAATTAGTACCAACGCATCGCTCTGAGACGCTCGGTTGGGCAGATAATTTCCGCCGCGATTTCAAAAGGCATCCATTTGTCATTCGGTCGCGCGCACTCGCGCCAGGCGGACGTGTCGCGTCTACCTCCTAATTTATTCAAATATTATTTATATAAGGAAACGAGACTATTAATCACATTTCTACAGTTTTTATTTACAATAAGCGGAATGTTTGAGCGCCTTTGATCGCGGTGTTTGTTTGAACATTTATTATGGTCTGCTTATCAGTTACTTTTCAAGTTTCGCTTTTGTAGGTATTTCATTTTATAAGTATCAATGTCTTTTTTCAGTTTGAATATTAGTAAATACATACATATTATAATTTGCTGATTTTATAGAAAAAACATATTCTGAAATCTTTTATGTTATAGATGAATTACTTTGGCTGTTAATATTAGATTTGAGAACAAATTAATTGATCAATTTATTATGTACCGAACTTATTTTTATATTATATTATTTTATTCTACGTAGGTTATGATTTGGTCCATCATCTGATATCGTTTCTTGGATGTCAGGAGGAAACTATGAAAATTTTTATAAAAATCAAATTTCTTTGGATAGATATACGATATAATTATCTCATATACACTAGAGTCTAAATACAGGTCACGGTATACTGTTCAGAGGACGGCGACAAGAAGAAATGAGAAAGGTGTGGGATCATCCCAAGGTCAGCTGCTAAGCCACGTGTTATGGAAAATATAATATTACAGTAGAATCATATTAGTATTACCGTGAGTGGACTGTAACGATCATAATGATACGTGTAGGTGATATCATGCACAGTATACCTAAGTATATGCCAATATACGTAAAAAGACAAGCTAAATTCTGTC